TCTCAAAACGCTCAAGGATCATAATTCCACTTTGATGCTTAAACACCAATGGATTTTGTTTCATGACAAAGAGAACTTATGGTGCAAGTGGATCCGCTCTTATCATTTAAGGGGCAAAAGTTTAAGGGTTGCTAAACCCACTCAGACTTGATCTTGGAATTGGAGCCAACTCTTGAAGTTGAAGGATATTTTGAGGCTACACATGTTTCACATTATTGGGAATGGATGCAGCGCACACATTTGGCAAGACAACTGGCACCCTAGGGGACCTCTAATCCTCAAAGGGGCTCTGAATGTCATCAACGGTTTCAGATTGCCAATGAATGCTAGAGTAAGCCAGATTATTACTAATAACATATGGCATTGGCCGCAGGGGAGAGGAAAGGAGAACTTCGAAATCTCAAGCTCTATGCCTAGCTACCCCCCTAATTCCTCAAGTGAAGAATATGTCAAATGGTTTCCCCTTGTTAATGGTAAGTTCTCTACTAGTTTAGCTTGGGAAATAATCAGGGGTCAATTCCCCCGTTGTTCAATGGCATAAACTAGTGTGGCACCATATGAATTCTCCATGAATGAGTGTTGTCTTTTGGCTTACAATTAGAAATAGGCTCAGTACAAAGGAAAAATTTTTCCATTTTGCCCCTCTTGTGAACCTTGAATGCATTCTCTGTGGGCAGTCTTCTGAGTCCTACATTCACTTCTTTTTTGCATGTCCCTTCTTTAAAGCCATTTGGCAGCAATTGTTGATTTTGTGTAACCACCAATGGTTTATGCTCCTTGGAATGACATGGTGGAATGGATGAGCTCCAACTAGAAAGGGAAATGCTTTGGGAAGGGTATCCTCAAGCTTTGCCTTTCTGTTGCTGTCTATTGCATATGGAGGGAAACGACATATACTTACAGATTGGGCAAAGGGAAAATTAATAGTCACAAAATAGCGAATCTTGTTTAAAGCCTCTTGTAACCTAGCTCAAACACCAAAGTAAACCAATTCACATTGAGTGAAAAGACATATAAGACTCATTTAGAGGGTATTTTAAAAGTTGTGGGACAAATTCTGAGACCCTCAAGTGTGCAAAAATAAAATTATCATAAAAGAGAAAAAAAGAATGGAACTGAAGATTTTTTTTTTAAAAAAAAAAAGGCCTACACGAGACGGAGTCTATTGAAGATTGGATATTGTAAGATCCTGTGTATTTATTCTAATTTTTAGTAGTTTATTAAGTATGATATTGAAATGTTAAATTATTGGTATGAAGTGCATCTCAAAATTGCTGTTGTAAGAGTAATTATGACATTTGGGAGACTTGAAGTTTTTGAGGTAATCACCATTAGGAGTCGGGAAAGAAAGAACTTGACACTATTTCAGTACTTCAAGCTTTATAAAATTGTATTTGATGAAAGTTTCATCAATTGACCTTTAACTAGATCAAAATTGATCAAAAAGTTAGCCCACGTTCGGCTAGAAAAAAGAGGGCATCTTGCTGCACCTTCGAAACTTTTGGCATAGATTTGGGTGTGGGTGGATGCAAAAATCTAATTNCAATTGACCTTTAACTAGATCAAAATTGATCAAAAAGTTAGCCCACGTTCGGCTAGAAAAAAGAGGGCATCTTGATGCACCTTCGAAACTTTTGGCATAGATTTGGGTGTGGGTGGATGCAAAAATCTAATTCTGAATGTGTGTAATTTTATCCGGATAGAAGGTTTAGTCTGTCTGGATATGTGAAGCTTCATCCGAATACGCCTCCCAAAATCGAGTTTCTCAATTTTTTGCCACTTGACCTATTTTTGGGACTATATAAATACTCAGGGATCCATTTTAAGGTTTTTTTTAATGCAAATTTCAACTCTAACGAGTCTATGAAAGTCTTGAAGAGAAGAAAAGATCGGGTTAAATTTTGATGGGATCAACGCATAGGAAACGACTTAAAGTACTCTAGGACCAATTTCTATGAAATCAAGGTAGGGTTGCTTTCTCTTGTCTAATCATTGAGGCTAGGGCTTTATTTATATGTAATCTTTGATTTATATATGTATACATACTATACATCTATAATTATTTTAGTTTTCTTGCAAATCCTAGATTTTGAAAGCATGATTTTGCATCTGATGTGTATTTTTTGGTTCATAAACCCTAGATTTTGAATAATGTCTAATTGATACTGTTTCTTTGCGATCTCTTGCACATTTTATTGGAATTCCCCTTACTTTAAGAATCATGGAAATCGCTGTTTGCAATATAAATGATCTATTTTAAAAACATAATTTAAATTTCTTGTATTGGATTTTTTTTTTCAATTGGTGAGCTTGATGAACTTGAATGCACTTGAACATATATCACAATATTTCTATGTGTTTTTAATCTCAAGGGGTTTGAAGATTTTCTATTATTCATAGCGGAGTGTTGGTTCCTTGTGAAGTTTCACACTACTATTCGTTCACGTTGATCGAGACAAAGAATTAGTATACTACTTCTATTGAGATTTCGTTAAATATTTAGACATGAATATACATGTTTCGTAAAAATGTCGTGACACTATAAGGACTGATTAGATGTTTTGTGTTTGTGGAGGGGTAGACGAGAAATATTTTGGTGTATGAATTGCTACTAGTCAACCTGCATATATGAGATATTCCTGCTACAAACTGGTATCTCTGAATTATTCGTTATGTGATAAAATTTATGTACGTGTATTGAAATTTTAGATTGTTACTAGTGCTACATGTTTTACTTCAAAACTTTATTTGTATTTTGGAAATTGAGACTTACCTATTTTTATATATTCCTAAACCCTGTATAAGCATTGAAAAAGTTTGTCTACTGAGTTAAATGTTCTTACCCCTTCCTTAATATTTTCAGATTTGGGTATTGAAGTTGATAATGACATAGGTGAGCCTATGGATTTGGATTTTGAAAAGAATCATGATGTAGATTTGGACTTTGAGGTTTTGTGAAGGAGGACTTAAAGTTAGTCTTTCTTTTGATTGAGAATAATTTATGATTTGTCATGATTGAAATAAGCTTCATTTTGAATAATGTTAAGGTTTTTGTGTTGCATCCTTTTGCATAGTAGAATTATTGTTTTGGGATACTTTGAGATTTTTAGTTGGATAATGTTGAATACTATTACTATGACTCATTATTAGGTATGATGACATGATTTTAAAGGTTACTAGTTAAATCACATTTGTTTATAAAAATATGGTGTGACAAGTATACACACATGATATTTAAGTGAAGGAGATGAACATTTTGTCAGCCTTGTATATGAAANCAATATTTCTATGTGTTTTTAATCTCAAGGGGTTTGAAGATTTTCTATTATTCATAGCGGAGTGTTGGTTCCTTGTGAAGTTTCACACTACTATTCGTTCACGTTGATCGAGACAAAGAATTAGTATACTACTTCTATTGAGATTTCGTTAAATATTTAGACATGAATATACATGTTTCGTAAAAATGTCGTGACACTATAAGGACTGATTAGATGTTTTGTGTTTGTGGAGGGGTAGACGAGAAATATTTTGGTGTATGAATTGCTACTAGTCAACCTGCATATATGAGATATTCCTGCTACAAACTGGTATCTCTGAATTATTCGTTATGTGATAAAATTTATGTACGTGTATTGAAATTTTAGATTGTTACTAGTGCTACATGTTTTACTTCAAAACTTTATTTGTATTTTGGAAATTGAGACTTACCTATTTTTATATATTCCTAAACCCTGTATAAGCATTGAAAAAGTTTGTCTACTGAGTTAAATGTTCTTACCCCTTCCTTAATATTTTCAGATTTGGGTATTGAAGTTGATAATGACATAGGTGAGCCTATGGATTTGGATTTTGAAAAGAATCATGATGTAGATTTGGACTTTGAGGTTTTGTGAAGGAGGACTTAAAGTTAGTCTTTCTTTTGATTGAGAATAATTTATGATTTGTCATGATTGAAATAAGCTTCATTTTGAATAATGTTAAGGTTTTTGTGTTGCATCCTTTTGCATAGTAGAATTATTGTTTTGGGATACTTTGAGATTTTTAGTTGGATAATGTTGAATACTATTACTATGACTCATTATTAGGTATGATGACATGATTTTAAAGGTTACTAGTTAAATCACATTTGTTTATAAAAATATGGTGTGACAAGTATACACACATGATATTTAAGTGAAGGAGATGAACATTTTGTCAGCCTTGTATATGAAAAACTAATCCACAAGATAAAACCTACATGTTTTATAAATAATCAATGTTAGTAGGTAATTTTTCAAAATATTTGGAACCTTGCTTCTAGTCAAGTACCATCCACATGAAATCCTCTTTATTACCATAAACTAAAAGAGCAATGCTATTGCGACCTAATTGGAAGATTTAATATAAAGATCTAATGAAGTGACTTCAATATTTTGCAATTCATGCGGTAATTTGATCTAATTCTAAGTTGTATACAATTCAACCGATAATTTGATCCATATTTTGCAAGCATTAAATTTGTTGGATCAATATATGAAATTCTACCTCGCATGCATTGGTAAAGAACAGATTGGTTCTTTTACATTCAAATAATAAAATTGCATAAATACCTCATGAGGATTTCTTTTGAGGTTAAGTATGCATATATGTATAGACTTCAGTGTTAGAATGGATGAAGTTGTGAACCCATCGATTCTAAATAATAATAATAATAATAATAAATACAAGTTCATCAAATTACATAATGGTTGTCTACAACTTAAGAAGTATCACATGCACAAAATCATGAATGGTCTTGCAGAGTGAAAAGGGGAAATGGGTGCTCTTCGTTCTCAGCCACCATGAAATCCGCCCAATTGATCTTCTCCACTGAATTCGTTTTTCTGTTTGCAAATCGGTTACTAATCCACTTCCATTTTCATTTTCTCATTCTCTTACCATTTCCCCATTGTCTCTTTCTCACAAATCCAAAACCCCTCTTTATTCCTTCCTTTCCCTCGCTTTACCCCCACATCTGATCCATGGAACCTACAACCTTTAAAGCCAGGCCAGGTTGTAGATCTGGCAGCAACATCAATATTGAGCTACCAAAAGCTCGTGTTAATGCTAAAGTGAACCAAATGGGACAAAGGAGCTTAACTCTAATGCTTTACCTGGAAGCCATTCAAGAGATATGGGAAAAACAGGGCAGACACATGAACAAACAGAAGAGGTGGCAAATGGTGAAAATCTTTTTGCTGGCAAATAGATACCTAGCGGTGAAGCTTCAAAAAATCTAGTAGATGTTGATGTGTTGCCAGAAGACAAGAAAAACCTAACAAAAGATCAACCTAACCTGCTGGAGGCCCAACAAAAACAACCCAGACCCAGGGCACCTCGGAACCAGGTCCTTAAAGAAGGACGAGCAGCAAACCACTCAGCTAACCAGAATGAAAGCCAAACCTAAGTAATGAAACTCCAATTTTTTGATCCAAAAATGGAAAATAATAGAATTGTGATCCACCCCCTGAAGAAATTGGTAGGCAAGGAAGTTTTGAATGGTGGAATTGTCTTGTGGGATACTTCATTGAAAATAAGCTCCCTTTTACCACTGTAAGCTACTTGGCACACAAGATGTGGGATAGTCAATGAATTTTGGAGGTATTGGCTAAGGACAATAGATTTTTCTATTTTAAATTCATGAATGATGAATCTAGAACAAAAATCTTTGAGTTGGGCCCTTGGCTGCTATCAGGTAGGCCATTAATTCTCCAGAAATGGCAACTAAACCTATTGTTATCCAGGGAGAATCACTCAATAATCCCATTGTGGATTAAATTCCACAACATTCCTCTCCAATTCTGGAATGAGAAAGGCCTGAGTTATATAGCAAGTGGTGTTGGGAAGCCTTTATATGCTGATACAACACCTCCAAGAAACCGAGAATAAACTTTGCAAGAATCTGTGTTGAAATGAATGCTAGAAGTCCATTAATTGAAGCCTTTGATCTGAATGTGGATATCAATAGGATGGTTGAAACTTTGGAAATAAAGGTAGAAGACCAATGGAAGCCCAAGGTGTGTAGTACATGTAAAGTTTTTGGGCACAATGAGTCGTTATACCCCCAAAATGATATCAGAGGCTAGGATTAATGTGGAGGAGCATTCTGATGTTCAATTTCGATGCATTGACCAACTAGGCTTGTGTCTAGATAAGGGCAAAGCAGTGGTTTCTATAGTGCCAGACACTGAAACTATGAAGACTAATAAAAAAAAGAGTTGCAGACAACCAATTGGTGCATGTTACTAAGATTGAAAGGTATCCTCAGGTTAACTCTTAAGTCACAGAGATCTTAGTGAATCAAATTGCCTCCCCCAAACAGGATGTTGGGAGGATTACATCTAAGAACAAACTTGTGGGCCTGAATCTAGAGGGAGGGGAAATCATCGTGGACTTAGCCTCTGAAACTGAAGCTAGTACCTCAATCTACAATGAGGGGACTAAGGAGAAGGAAAAAGCAAATGGAAACAAACATCCATTGGGAAGCAAAAATAAAAAAGCGAAAAAGAAAGACCATGAGATGGGAAAATCTAAGGTGACTGAGCACCTAAGTTTCAGGAAAGTACTCTCCCCTCAACTAAGCTTGCATGCTGGAACATTTGAGGAATTAACAAGCCCTCAAAGTAGGAAGAAGCCAGGAAGTTGATTGTGGATCAACAACTTGACTTATTGGGAATTGTTGAAACAAAAGCCAGGAGTGTGAATAAAGATAGTTTGATGCATAATGTGTTTGGAAATTAGGATTACTTGGAAAATTATGATAGCCATCATTTTGGAAGAGTGTAGATTGGGTGGAACCCAAATACAGGGGAAATCAATAAAATTGAGGAAATTGACCAAGTGATACATTGCTTGGTCAAACATTTTGAAAGTAACACACAATTTTTTGCTTCTTATGTTTATGGGTCAAATGATGACGTAGAGAGGAAAACTCTGTGGAGGGGGTTTAGATACCATTCAAACTTTGTTGCTATTGAACCATGGGTTGCTTTAGGAGATTTCAACATTATTAGAACACCAAGTGAAATTGCAGGGGGTCAAAGTAGTTGGAGTCAATCAATGGAGGATTTTGATGTTTGTTTGCAAGATTCAAAACTTATGGATCTTAGGTATACTGGGATCCAGTTTACTTGGAGTAACAGATGAGAAGGAGAAGTAGTTGTGGCTAGAAAGTTGGATAGAGTTCTGGTTAATGAAGCCTGGGCTACCAGATTCCAAATGTCTACAGCAAAATTTCTTCCAGCAGTTGTCTCTGATCATAGCCCTGCAATTGTTCAAATTGGTCCAAGGCTCCCCAAAAGAAAATGCCCCCTTAAAATTTTCAACCACTTATGAGTAGGAGAGGACTTTTTGGAACTAGTTCAATAGATTTGGGNAGCAGTTGTCTCTGATCATAGCCCTGCAATTGTTCAAATTGGTCCAAGGCTCCCCAAAAGAAAATGCCCCCTTAAATTTTTCAACCACTTATGAGTAGGAGAGGACTTTTTGGAACTAGTTCAATAGATTTGGGTTCAAAATGTCCAAGGAAGTCACCAATTTCAAGTTGTTAGCAAGCTCAAAAGACTCAAAGTTTTCTTCAAAGGGATTATCAAGGAATTAGGGGATGTCTCGGTATGAGCAAGAGAGGCAAGAGAAGTTTTAATGAGATGCCATAGAAAGCTTGACACTAACCCAACTGAAACTGCAAGGAGATAGGAAGAAATACAACTTCTAAAGGACTGTACTCAAGCAGCCAAAGATGAAGAAATTTTTTATAAGCAGAAATTCAGAGTCCAATGGCTCAAAGAAGGTGACAGGAACACATCATATTTTTTCAAGACAATGAATAGTAGAAGAAATAGGAAAAAGATTTTTACTCTTGATAGGGCGGATGGATCAAAGGTAGAGTGAGAACAAGCAGTGAAGGAAGAAGCTGTTAATTATTATGTCAACTTATTAGGTCAAGCTAGACATGATGTCCTAGTCCAAGAGAGAAAAGCAGGTATGCAGTCAGTGGTCCAAAGAAAAATCCCTCCACACATTGCTGTTGAAATGGTTGGAGAGGTATCTAATAAGGAAATCAATGAGGTAATCTTCTCTTTAAATGACCATAAAGCACCTGACCCAGGTGGGTTTAATGCTCTATATTTTAAGAAAGCTTGGCCTATCATTGGGCATGACATTACTGAAGTAATCAAAGAGTTCCTAACTACTAGCCAACAACTTACGGATCTAAATAACACAATCATCACCTTGGTTCCCAAAGTTCCAAACCCCACAACTATGGGAGATTTCAGGCCAATCTCATGTTGTAACACTCTTTATAAGGCAATCTCAAAGCTCATAGCAAACAAAATCAAAAAATGTCTTCCAAACCTTATCAATCCTAACCAAACAACCTTCATCCAAGGTAGAAGAATTGGAGACAACATCCTATTAACCGAGAAGCTTATGAGAGAAAACCATAGAGATTCAGGCCCCCCCCCAGAAGCTTATGAGAGAAAACCATAGAGATTCAGGCCCCCCCCCCAGATGTGCACTAAAAGTTGACATTAGAAAAGCCTTTGACACCGTCCAGTGGGATTTTCTGCTTGTTGCCTTAGAAGTTTTTAATTTCTCAATGACAATGAGAAAATGGATCCATGCTTGCATTACTACAGCTATGTTCTCAGTTAATGTGAATGGAGAGCTAGCTGGTTACTTCTCCAATGCTAAAGGATTGAGGTAGGGAGATCCACTATCTCCCTACCTTTTTATAATTGTAATGGAGTTTCTGTCCCTGATAACACAGTACAACATAACATCCAACTCCCAGTTCAAGTATCACTAGAGATGCTCAAAACTCAAAATCGTTCAACTCTCCTTTGCTGATGACTTGATGTTATTTTGTCACGGTGTTGTGATTTCAGTTCAAACCTTGAAGAGATATCTGGACCAATTTGACCAACTCTCAGCCTTACTTCCCAATGTTGAAAAGAGCAATATGTATTTATGTGTTGTTCTTGAGAGGGAGGGGGTCACAAATCATAGAGATGCTTGGGTTCCCTATTGGTGATTTACCTATCAAATATCTTGGAGTTCCATTGGTATCCACCAAGCTTAAGGCTCAACATTGCATGGGCCTTATTGAAAAGGTTGAATCCAAGGTTAAGTCTTGGATCAACAAGTCTCTATCCTACGTAGGAAGACTTCGACTGGTAATTTCTGTGCTTAGTAGCATGCATGTCTTTTGGGCTACACACCTGAGCTTACTAGAGAAAGTGTTGGGCAAGTTTGAGCAAATTTTGAGGGCTTTTCATTTGGAAGGGCCCTGAGCTTAAACACACTGGAAGGAAGTTACGTGGAACGATGTTTGCAAGACGAAAAGAGAGGATGGTCTGGGTATAAAGGGGTTGAACGAATGGAACAATACCTTGCTTCTGAGACATCTGTGGCAATTGTTCAATGACAAGGAAAACCTATGGACCCNGCGTGGAACGATGTTTGCAAGACGAAAAGAGAGGATGGTCTGGGTATAAAGGGGTTGAACGAATGGAACAATTCCTTGCTTCTGAGACATCTGTGGCAATTGTTCAATGACAAGGAAAACCTATGGACCCAATGAATGCATGTTTACTATATAAGAGATAGAAGCCTATGGGAGCTTAAAACCCCCCAAATCTACTCACACACTTGGAGGAACTTTTTAAAGCTCAAGGATTTCCTAAGACCTATAATGGAGCACATTATAGGGAATGGGAGGCCCACTATCTTTTGGCATGACAACTGGCATCCATATGGACCCCCTATTACCAAGAAGCAGTCCAAAATATTTTAACAACATGTCAATCTACCTTCCTGATCAAACCAGAATTGACTCTAAGAGACAGACCCTTACCACTGGTGGGAATTACTCTGCCAAATCTACATGGGATCACTTAACGATTACTTCTGGTTTGGTCTTTTGGCACAAATTGGTATTGTTCAGCCAGTCTATTCCTCGGATGGCCTTCATCATTTGGTTAGCCATTAAAATGAGATTGAGCACTAAAGATAGAATCCAAGCTTTCTCAAATGATGTGGGCACTCAATGCGTGTTGTGTAGAACGACAAATGAAACTCACAGCCACCTCTTCTTTGAATGTGACTACTCCTCTAGAGTTTGGAACTCCATTATTCTCCAGAGCAATCAACAAGGACAGCAAAGGCAATGGCCTGATTTAATTGAATGGGCTACTTAATAGTGGGAAGGCAAGAATATGACACTATTATCTTGAAGATCAGTCTTTCTACTACTATTTTAACTTTCATACTTTGTGCACGATGGTTAAGCAGACTATTAGGGAGAGGATGCTTACCTTGAAATTCAAGCATAGTCAACAAAATGTCTTGACCTTGCTTCAATGGAACCTGCCTGATACATGTCTCCTTTAGCTCTCGTTATGAAGCTTACTGCATCAATGAATTGAAGCTTAAAAGGCTTAGCCTCCACCCATCTTGGTAAGGGATTCTTGGGAAAGTTCTGGCTCAAGACCTTTACTTCCCTCAGAATTCTTTTCTTAAGATGGATTTTTGTTTTCGTTTTTTGATTGAGGGGATCCCTTTCTTGTTAAGTCCCATCCTTTGGTTCTTGTATATTTTTGTCCTACCTCAATATATTTTACTTTCTGAAAAAAACATAAGAAATACCAGATATAGATATGAGAATGAGTATAATACGATATAGATACGACGATACAACAAAATCTTAAAAAGTAAGATATTAGGATGCTATTATAATACTAGGAATATGAGATATTAAGAGATAGAACACGTAAAAAGTAGGGTACTAGGCTTGTGCATATGTGATGTACATCCAAATGAACATTTTAGAACAAAGAATCCACATTTGTATGATTAATTGTTTCTACACAACCCACCTCACCAAGTGTAAGGAAAATGTATTCACCATAGAAATATGTGTATCCGAAATATATCTGAAAAGTATCAATCATTGATAAATATTTTACTAATTATATAAAATGCATTCAAAATGTTTCCATGAGTATCTAATGACTATCGGTATCTGATAAGTATGTTATTCCAATGTATAACTATGATACTATCAACAATCATATCTTGAGTATGACCCAAGTTCACTATGTTTTTTTTTTCGGTAACTAAATAATTTCATAAATTCGAAGGTAAATACACGTATACCGTTTGTGTAATGGATATTTATAAAAAAAGAGGATGATATATCATCTAATCCAACTGAAAAAGGAAGACCTGTCATCTTCAATCCTAAAAAAAAAACCAAATAAAAACCCAAGAACCAATGGACCCTATTCATGGCTCAATTGTAGTGCCAATTGAGGGCAGACCAGCAGCAAGAAACAAGCATGAACAGAACAAGAAACAAGCAGCTCCATTGGTTTTGCTTGTTTAGTGTCTTGCAGCTCACCAAGTTGATAGCAGCATTTCTCCATGGGATTGCGTTGAAGTTTTGGGCGCTCAAGACTAAATCCTTTGCTCTGTTGAGAAAATCTATGCCCTCCCTTTCAATCTCCAACGCCTTGGGACATCTAAGAAAGCTAATATAGGCTTCTAAATCATGAACACAAGAAGGGTTTTGCATCTTGAAGAAATCAAAGGCTAGTTCAACGCCCACATGAGCATAACAAGAACAGCTCTAAGGAAACTCAAATCCCTCTCCAATACCCTTAAAATTTTCATTCAAAAAAACTCCAGGAAGCTTTGTTATGGGGTCATTAACATTCACTATTCTAAGAACGTTTACACCCAACTCCTCACATCTTTCCTTGAAGCTTGAATTCCCAACTCTTCGCCCTCCAAAAGAGAAAACAGTGATCGGTATTTCACGGTCGAAAGCGTGTCTGTTCAATCCAAGCTCTGCAATATCATAAGCAAGTAGGAGTGCCAACGAGCTCCCCATGCTATGCCCCGCCAAAGTTATGCTCATTTCCTCGCCTTTGTACTTGTTTAATAGCCGAGACACTTCGGAAAGAAGCTGTTCCCGGCAGCTTCCGAGCCCAAATTTGCTGCCACTCTCATCAGAAGCGTACAAGCTCAGAAACCCAGTTTCGACCTGCTTGTTCACAAGTCAAATGCCGTTATCTCATGAACAAATCTCTTAAATCTGATAATTTACGTGTCTGTTATCTCATGAAATTAGATTTTCTAAACATTACCATAACATGTGGCCGAGGGTTATGTGGGTCGAGTCGTGCCGGAGTCAATGAGCTCATTAGATTTGCAATCCATTCAGGGTTCGTAACTGTTCCTCTGAATGTTATCACTATATCTCTCCTCCCAATCCTCCTTCTCTCATTGCTCGATGATACAGCAACATATCCAATCCAACGGCCACACATTGCGCTGTTTTGGCTCGGAATTTTAATATCAGGAGTGGCATAAATATACTTTGTGACTTCATAATCTGAATCAGTCAAGCCAACTTCTTTTAAAATCTTCTTCTTCCCATATTTGCAATTTAGGAAGCGTTTTGAGGTTGGATTGATTTCGAAAGCCTTGAACAGGCGGCAATGAACTCGCCGTACCGGATGATTTCTTTCTGGAGAAGAGGATCTAAAGGTTCCATGAGATTTTCCCAGTTATTTAAGCCTTGAATCTCCTTCCAACAATGTGCCAAAATGGAGCTAGATTCAGCAACTTTTGTAGGAATTGAAGGTGCATTCATAGAAGCAAGAACCGGGTGTTTGACTAAGGAAATCTCACTCATTTTCATCAATGTTACTTTCCCAAAAGAACTCTTCCGGGGCATAGAATCAGCTGACAACGAGACAAGGTTTATGTTTGGGTTGTGCATGTTTAATGCAGTGGAAACCATGGAGAGAGAGAGAGAGAGAGAGCACAGGTAGTGGGTACTTGCATATATGGGGGAATTGAGGAGGGAGAGTTGCTCTGTCATGGAGTATTGTGGGGTTGACAAGTAGAAAGAAAAAAAAGAAAAAGAAAAAGGCACGTTTGGCGAGGATTTGACTGTGACTCTGAAAGTTCCATGGGTTGGATTTTAAGTGGTCGGTTGGTTTTAAGTCAATCATATATTATATATAATTACTGGTAACCTAATTCACGATACAATGTAAATAATTTTGAGAGTAATATTGATAGTTATTAGATAAATTTATTTAAAACTATCAAATAGACTTATTAATGTCTGTTATATTTTACATTATATATATACATTAATTCTATTGGGGCCATGTTGAAAACAAAAGGAAAAATACAGTANCTGGTAACCTAATTCACGATACAATGTAGATAATTTTGAGAGTAATATTGATAGTTATTAGATAAATTTATTTAAAATTATCAAATAGACTTATTAATGTCTGTTATATTTTACATTATATATATACATTAATTCTATTGGGGCCATGTTGAAAACAAAAGGAAAAATACAGTAATTTCTTTGTTTAACAATGCTAGTTTTTTTACACTTTTTTTTGTATTATCTCCACATAGACCGTTAAATTAATAGGTTCCACATAATTTATTAAAAATCCAATAAATTTGATTAGACCATATGAGGTGGTGTAAAAGAAATGANTAAAATCTTAAAAAGTAATATATTAGGATGCTATTATAATACTAGGAATATGAGATATTAAGAGATAGAACACGTAAAAAGTAGGGTACTTGGCTTGTGCATATGTGATGTACATCCAAATGAACATTTTAGAACAAAGAATCCACATTTGTATGATTAATTGTTTCTACACAACCCACCTCACCAAGTGTAAGGAAAATGTATTCACCATAGAAATATGTGTATCCGAAATNAATGGACAAAAGTGGTGTTAGGGTAATGTGGCAGTAAAAAAAAAAAAACAAAGAAAAAAGGGTAATGTGGCAGTGTTAAGGTAATGTCCATAGATAATCAAAAGTTATATATTTTGAGAAAAAATTATCATTCATCATTTTATCATAATTGTTTTTATAAAAAAAGCCAACTGATGACAATTTTTCATTAGTTGTGCACAGCNGATGGACAAAAGTGGTGTTAGGGTAATGTGGCAGTAAAAAAAAAAAAAACAAAGAAAAAAGGGTAATGTGGCAGTGTTAAGGTAATGTCCATAGATAATCAAAAGTTATATATTTTGAGAAAAAATTATCATTCATCATTTTATCATAATTGTTTTTATAAAAAAAGCCAATTGATGACAATTTTTCATTAGTTGTGCACAGCACCTGACAGTATCAAGTGATGTGTTAAAAGCATACAAATATTTCTCCAAAATATCTTGCTAATATCAGTAAATTTTAAATTTTAATAAATGAATAAAAGTGTGAAAATAGATTGGAGTGAGATGCTCTCTAATATAATTATTTTTTACTAGAGCCCATTTTTTCTCGAACTCACTACAAGTTCAATGATAGAACTGTATTACGTTACCAAATTAGATTTTTAAGTTAAATCTAAATATTATTAATCTTATTCTACTCTTCATATAGAGATAAGGAGGATTTCAATATCCTCATCGTGTNCACTAGAGCCCATTTTTTCTCGAACTCACTACAAGTTCAATGATAGAACTGTATTACGTTACCAAATTAGATTTTTAAATTAAATCTAAATATTATTAATCTTATTCTACTCTTCATATAGAGATAAGGAGGATTTCAATATCCTCATCGTGTGAGACATCAAAATATTTTTTCATCTTCAATTGACAGATTTAGAAAGAAAAAAAAGCATGAATAACCAGTTCAAATATTTATTGTGGTTAAAATAGAAATAGATGGTTAAAATATAAATATTACTAAAATATAAATTGTAAGATTAATAATAGATAGCTATTTATGAAGGAGCAGGAAGATTCTACCAAAATATTTGAAAATAAATAGAAAATCCGGATGAAAGAAATCCCTTATGATGCCTACTACCACTTGATCGTCATGTTTTTTCCCAATTGGAGAAGATGCTGGAAAATTAGTAACCTTGCTTGAAATGGAAGACTTTCCAGGTTAATCAGCCACCATGCATATTTAACTTCTCTAAGTACATTAATAATCTCATAATCCATCCAAACCAATAATTTATGTAACAAAGTACAAAGNTCTCCCAATTGGAGAAGATGCTGGAAAATTAGTAACCTTGCTTGAAATGGAAGACTTTCCAGATTAATCAGCCACCATGCATATTTAACTTCGCTAAGTACATTAATAATCTCATAATCCATCCAAACCAATAATTTATGTAACAAAGTACAAAGGATTTCAAATCTCTCAAGACATAAAAATGACTTTTATTTTCCGCGGCACAAATCGGCTCACAATTATGTATGTTTTGATCCAATGATTGAAAATATATATAATAAAGTACAAAGATTTCAAATACCCCAAGACATAAAAATCACACACACACACACACACTCTAATACACCAAAAATATACACGTACTAACACACAAAAGAAAAAAACACAAACACATTTAATAACACACCAAAATACATACACACTAATACACANTCTAATACACCAAAAATATACACATACTAACACACAAAAGAAAAAAACACAAACACATTTAATAACACACCAAAATACATACACACTAATACACACACACACATATAGTACACACACATACACTAGTCCCAGACTCCGCTCTAGACCCTAGACTCGACCACAGACTCGACTCTGGACCTAGACATAACCCATAACCCAACCTTAGACCTTGACCCTAATACCCAACCTAGACCCAAACCCGATCGCAAACCAACACCAAACCCTAGACCTGAAGCTAGACTNCGCTCTAGACCCTGGACTCGACCACAGACTCGACTCTGGACCTAGACATAACCCATAACCCAACCTTAGACCTTGACCCTAATACCCAACCTAGACCCAAACCCGATCGCAAACCAACACCAAACCCTAGACCTGAAGCTAGACTTGCACATGACCTTGGACTCGTCCCGCACCTGACTGCGGACCTGACCTAGAACCCATACCCAACTTCGAAGCCAGACCTGTACTTGAATTTGGACCCAACCTTGGACTTGGACTCGACTTAAAGACTAGGCCTGAACTTGACAATGACCTAGACCCAACCCTAGACGTAGATCCCAGACCTGACACCAACCCAAGACCTAGATCCGACCTCGACCTTGACCCTGAGCCCGACCCGAGCCCAGACTTGGGTAATAGTTTCTATTAGAATTGATTTGAATTCTAATGATGACTTATATAAATTTTAGCGAATACTTAATGCCCGAGTAATACTAACAATTCAAATACGTTAGATATATGATTTGTGCTTTTGGCATGTTGTCTACTTTAACTCTTTCATAGTCTCTTCTTTTTTTTCTTTTTCTTTTTGTTTAACCCTTTATATTTGTGATTATGATTTGGCTCTTTTTGTTTTTTATTTGAAATTGCGGATATTTTGGATGTTTTAGATTACACGTTTAAATTGTTGTACAAATGTGAAGTTTTGGCACACTATATTGATTTTTTTGTTACTTTGTGTTTTTAGGTACGAACAATTATTAGTCGATAAATATTCATTGTCGTGGAATATCCCAATTTTCATTAAAATTCAAATTTTCGGCTGACCATGTCTACTAATGACTTAGAATCCAATTCAACAACAGCCTTGTACTCAGCTAATCCCATGTCATGAATAATAATCTTCAAAGATTTGTAGCAAAAGGATGCCAAGAGAAGTGAGAACACAATCAAAAACTTTGGATTTCCGTGTTTTCTTCTTTTGCGTGTAACTTTCACTATTGCAGATGTAACATCTTTAGGACTGATGACATGAATAATCCACCTGATCACGCGTAGTGGAATCATTGTCCTAACTTTACTTCGCCATTTCAAGTGGGAANGAATCCACCTGATCACGCGTACTGGAATCATTGTCCTAACTTTACTTCGCCATTTCAAGTGAGAATCACGGCCGGAATTACAATGATAACGAATCTCAAGGTTTGAGTGAAATTAAGAAGAAGATCTAAAGTGNTAATCCACCTGATCACGCGTAGTGGAATCATTGTCCTAACTTTACTTCGCCATTTCAAGTGGGAATCACGGCCGGGATTACAATGATAACGAATCTCAAGGTTTGAGTGAAATTAAGAAGAAGATCTAAAGTGAAAAGATCTCTCAAATTTACAGAGCACACGGTCACGGGTGTTCAGACTAATTTATGTGTATCTCGACTAATTTCCTCTTTAATTCGATCAAATGCACATCATTCGGAACTATTTTCATTAGACTATTTTCCCATGCCAGAAGATGTTCAAATCTTCAAGTTTTTTTTTTCCCTGGTAAATTGTAAGCATTGCATAAAGAAAAGAATGGATATCTGGGCTAAAGTCACCTCAGTGTAGGCTTAATGTTTACAATGTATTAAAGCCTTACAGCCTCTAATAAGCATTGCATAGCCACATGAAGATTATAACATTAACCTTAATTCTAATGATGAGTGTAAATAGTGTTGGTCCATCCAGTTTATATTANCTGGTAAATTGTAAGCATTGCATAAAGAAAAGAATGGATATCTGGGCTAAAGTCACCTCAGTTTAGGCTTAATGTTTATAATGTATTAAAGCCTTACAGCCTCTAATAAGCATTGCATAGCCACATGAAGATTATAACATTAACCTTAATTCTAATGATGAGTGTAAATAGTGTTGGTCCATCCAGTTTATATTAAACGACATCATATCCCAACCCTTGATTCTATGAAAGAGGAAAGCTGGTCAAGGCAATAAAAACAAAATCGATCAAATGTTTCTGCCATCATTTCAC